ATTGCATTTAATTTCAATCACTGAAATGGACACTCATTCTAAAGTTTGGAGGCAGGCCTGGATTTGAATTCTGACGGATCACTAGCTGTCAAACAAATCACTTAGCTCTCCAAGATCCAAAACGGGAATGACAGACAGCATGATGGTGAGAATCAGCTGTTCTGTATCAATACAGACCCTGCAGTCTGGAGTACAATAGGGGTTCGGTAGCGGACCATTCCTCTCTCTTGTCCCTTTCTTCAGACTGGAAAAGTACAGGAATTTAATTCAGAAAATATGCATGTACCAACTACTAGTGGGTGCTAAACACCGAGGAATTCATGGCTGGTGGAAAAAGCAACCGCAGGTGCTGACCTGAGCTTTGGGTTATCACCGGGGCATAGCATGGAGGAAGCTGGAAGCTCAGAGGCCTGGCTGAGTTTTGCCTTCTGGGCAAATCACTCCCTCCCCACTTGGATGGACCTCCACGCCCTTCCTTTTTTGGTATAACAACGAGTTTTGACTAGTTTGCTGCTAAGGTCCTGGCCAGCTCTAAAGTAGTCTAAGTGGTAGGAAACAGACCAGTCTCACTGCACAAGGGTTTTTTGCCCGGGCCTCGTCCTTCCTCCCTGATCATTCCTTCTTCCGTCTGTCTTTGCCCATTCTTAAAGCCGGGAATCCCAGATGGTAGCTAGCCCTTCTCTCTTCTCTTGCAGCATTTTCTTTTCTTTCTTTCTTTCTTTTTTTTTAAAATACATTTTATTGATTTTTTACAGAGAGGGAGGGAGAGGGATACAGAGCTAGAAACATTGATGAGAGAGAAACATCGACCAGCTGCCTCCTGCACACCCCCCCCACCGGGGATGTGTCCGCAACCAATGTACATGCCCTTGACCAGAATCGAACCTGGGACCCCTCAGTCCACAGACCAACGCTCTATCCAATGAGCCAAACCGGTTTCGGCTCTTGCAGCATTTTCTTTTGCAAAATCTCATCCACTCCTTGCCTGCCTAGGAGGTGTCTGCGGAGAAAAGCCTCCACCAGGCTATCCTGGACTTTGAAGCTATAGCTGATCTCTGCCCTTCATACAATATTTCCAGGGAATCTGCCCCGTTAGCTTGACAGCGGGGTTACCTAGCGGTGGATGAGTCTCTGTGCTCCTCCCACCCCCACCACGAGGTTGTGAGGTCCCCATGGGGAGAAACTGTGTTCTTCATTCCTTTGTTCCCCTCATAAACCCAGCACATAAAACAGACCTCAAACAAATAGATGTTTGCTGACTCCAGTCTAGTTGAGAGTAGAATTTCAGAGAAAGTCTTAAAAGCAGCATACATAAGAAAAAGCTGGGAAGCAGTAGGTAACTGCAAAGTGCAATGTGTGTCAGCATACACAGCGCCTCCTGTGTGTCCCTGTGCGTCCCGGGGAGGGAGGAACAAACAAACAGCCTGTTTGCTCCTGGCCTGTCAGGTGCAGAGGACACAGGAGGGGCAGGGGAGGGGAGGAGCAGGTGTGTGCCGCAGCTGAGACAGCGGGCAGAGGGGGGAGGAGTGGGCCTTTTCTCACGGGAGCCCAGGGCCCTCTTACGCTGCAGGCTGGGCTTCCCTTGAGGCCTGTGTGTGGGCCCTCCATCTCAGCTCCCCAGACCTGCACATTCCCCGGTTTTGTCTGGGTGGAAACAAACCTGTCCTTGGGAAGGTGAAAGAGAAAGAATGAGATGGACTCAGGGTTGTTTTGCGGCTGCAATGAGTTAAGACACAAAGCACTTTGAAAGTTCCTGGCAGAGAGTAAGTAAGCATTTCGTGAGTGTAGGCTATTCTAACAACTGGACAGCTCATCTTTGTTGTAGTGTGCTAAACATGGTTACTGTAGCATCTCGTTTGAGCATCACAAGAATTCTGTCATGTGGTTATTATTTTTTTTAAAAAAAGAATGAGATGGAGACACTGTAAAAGAGAAAAAAGGGAGTGGGATTCACAAGGGTGTTGGGAGGAAGGGGCACTGGAATACCCAGTTACTAGGACATAGGGGTGCTTTCTCAGTCTGCCCCCATGAAGTTATAGAATGCCTCATTGACCGTCATGGCCTTCCACAGTCAGGCATCAGGTTTCCACACGCACTTGGGTCTGTTTCTGTAAAAGGCGAAAGGGTTATGCGATCTGAAGAGAGACCAGAGTATTGGGTCTGTTGCTGAGGTATGCATTCTGTTCCCCTGGATCTCTCTCCATTTTTTGTTTGTTTGTTGGTTGGTTGGTTGGTTGGTTGGTCATCTTTTGACTTTGATTCTTCCCATTCATTTATTGAGGTCTTATTTTATGCCCTTTAATCATGGAAGAACATTACAGTAATGGATATACATATCTTATTTCTTATTTAATTGGAACTTCTTCTGAAGTCTCATCCTATCTAATAAAGAGTGGATATGCTCATTGTTCATAAAACCCTCACAATATGACGGCACCCACAGCCAATAAAAAGGGAATATGCTAATTGAGTGCCACGCCCTCAAAGATGGCAGTGCCCACAGCCATGAGATGGTGGCATCCGGTCCCCTCAGCTCTGCTGGGTGGCAGGTGCACAGCAGGGCCAGGCTGAGGCCCACCCCCAGGCGGGTTGGGCCGCTCCACGCACCTGCCTCCAGACTCCTCCAGTCTCCTCAGCCCCCAGCCACCCAGGGCCAGCCCAAGGCACAGGTAACCAGGGCCGGCTGAGGCTTGCACTGACGGCAGTGGCAGTAGCAGAGGTGGGATGGGGGCATTGCCTTCCCCTGATAGCCAGTTTGCCTCCCAGGCCTGAGGGCTCCCGGACTGTGAGAGGGAGCAGGTCGGGCTGAGGGACGCCCTTCTCCAGCACATGAATTTTTTATGCACTGGGCCTCTAGTGTTTAAATATGATTCTGGCTGCATGTCTTTGATGCTCTGGGGTAGTTTGGTAAAAGGTATACTTTTTTTTCAATGATGAAAATGGATATTATGCCCTAGATAGTGTCCCATAGTCTGGATTTTGCTGAACATCGCTGTAGTATTTAAGATGTTGCTTTGTGCTGACATGTACACATAAGGAACTGTTTGACATTGAAATTGGGTCTCAGAAGAACTGGTGGCCCAGAAAGAAACTCTCTACAGACTGACTCATATGCCTTTCAGCATAACGATTATTGCTTGTCTCATTTTTTATTCTTATAAGTATATTTCCAGTAGGACATGATCTCACTCATTTAGGGGAAATGGTGAACAACATAGACTGATGAACAAGAACAGACCCAGAGACAAGGAGGCATGGGTCAGACTGTTGGACCTCAAAGGCAGGGTGGGGATAAAAGGGAAAGATCAACCAAAGGACTTATGTGCATACATATGAGCCTAACCAGTGGTCAAGGACAATAGGGGGATGGGGGCATGAGTGGGGGGAGTGGGGGATTGGAGTTGGGGGTTGAGGACAAATATGTGATACCTTAATCAACAAAGAGCAGGACGATCTGGTCACCTTAGTCTTGGGGGGTTGCCTCCCCAGGGCCCTCCTGGTTGATGCCCCCTGATCCCTGACCCAGCAGCCTCTGGCTGGACCCCAGGAAGCCTAGACCTTGGGCCTGTCCATTCGCCCATCATTTCACCCTCAGGTTCCAGGCTGCCTGCTGCGGAAGCGGGAGGGGGAGGGCGTCCTCAGAAGGCAGAGCCAGTATTTGTTGAAGCCTGAAGGGGGCGGGGCAGGCAGCTGCTCACCCAGCAAGGTGCCTCTGGCTCCTGCTTGGCAGAGCAGAATAGGAATGTTTGTGTCCCGGATGACAATGGCAGGGAAGTGCCCTGCACCTGACGGAGTAGTTTCAGCATTAGGAATTGGTTCGGGGAAGCAGAATGCCATCCTTAGCCTGGCAGTCGGGAATCCCTCCGAGCCCCACAATCACAGCAGAGTGCTCCCTGTGCACGGGCTAATTGTGAATGCTTTCCCTGCATTACTTATGTTCTCTGCATTGCAACCCCATGAAGTAGCTACTACTATCCCCGTTTTACAGGTGAGGACAGACAACCAGTAACTTGTAACTTAACCAAGAACAGCAGCTGGCAAGTACTGGTCATCCATCAGGAAAACAGGGATAGAATGCCTGCCCATCAATTATATAACACAGCAGTTCTATAGCCTGTCCACTGCCATGCATGGACAATGAGTCCATATTTTTAAATCTGGAACCATTACAGTTCTCCCCTCCCTGATTCTGGATACGGGACCACTTCTCCACTGGAGCCTGGTCACGTGGGTACAGAAAGTTCCTGGGGAAAATTGGTAAACAACGGTGTTGGCAGATAGGAAGTAAGTGGCTGGAGGGACAGAGTGGAAAATGTACTTTTCACTGTGCTTATAAACAAGATGTGTACATTTAATTGCTTAACAATGAAAGGGCTGCACAATCTCAAGTGAATCTGGCTGGAGCTTCTGCTTCTGAGATAAGCAGAGGCCTGAGGGCGCCCGGTGGGCGGGGCGGCTCCCCCAGGATCACCAGGGAGCGGGCGACAGGGCTCCTCCCCAGGGTGGGCATTTTACATATTTTTAATTGATTTTTTTTTTTTTAACAGAGAGGAAGGGAGAGGGATAGAGAACTAGAAACATCGATGAGAGGGAATCATCGATCTGTTGCCTCCTGCAAACCCTCTCCACTGGGGATGTGCCCGCAACCAAAGTACATGCCCTTGACCTGAATGGAACCTGGGACCTTTCAGTCCGAAGGCCAACTCTCTGTCCACTGAGCCAAACCGGTTAGGGGCTGAGTGGGCATTTTTAAATGCGGAAGAACCGAGGGAGCATGGTCCTTGGCGCGTCCTAAGCGCCTATAACGGGCAGAGTCCGGGCTCTGCAGCCCCAGGGGAGGCCCGGCAAGGGCCAGGGAAAAGGTTGTCCGCCCCGCCCCACCCGGCCCCTCCCCACCCCGTCCTATGTAAGAGCCCTCGTCCCAGACGGCGCTTCCAAGCCAGGAGTCTCCCCTCCTTTTGCAGGGTGCTCTCCCTCCTCTCGCGCTGCCCCCGGGCGCCATGCCAAGCCCCGGGAGGGACCAGGCCCGGGGCCCTTGCTCAGGCTGCTCTCCCGCCCCCGGACCCCACGCCGACCCCGGCAGGTCCCGCGCCCCCCGACCCCGCGAGTCCTCCTTCTCCATCGAGGCCATCCTGGCGAGGCCGGCGCCCCGCGCGCCCGCCTGCGCCCCCGCCTCCGCGGGCACCTGGGAGGGTCTGCCCTGGGCGCGCCCCGCTCCCTGGCTGCCCGCCGGCCTGAGCGCGGGACTCTGCCAGCCGCGCCCCCGGCCCCCGGCGCTGGGGCTGCGCCTGGCCCCCCTCTGCGGCCTCCAGGGCCTCGGCGTCACAGGTAGGAGCTGCCCGGGAGGCAGGCGGGGAGGGGGAGAGTGAGCCACGGCAGTGGGCGCAGGTTAGGGGAGAAGTTCCCGAGTTTGGGGACCACACACGATTGGAGTAGAGCCGAAACCGGTGTGACTCAGTGGATAGAGCGTTGGCCTGTGGACTCAAGGGACCTGGGTTCGATTCCGGTCAAGGGCATGTACCTTGGTTGCGAGCACATCCCCAGTGGGGGTGCGTGCAAGAGGCGGCTGATCGATGTTTCTCTCTCATCGATGTTTCTGACTTTCTATCCCTCTCCCTTCCTCTCTGTAAAAAATCAATAAAATATATTTTTTTAAAGAGAGGGAGAGAGAGAGAGAGAGAGAGAGAGAGAGAGAGAGAGAGAGAGAGAGAGAGAGAGAGAGAGATTGGAGTGGAGAGGGCCCTATGACCCTTGAACTGAAGCCCCGGGAGTGTGGCTGAGAGGTGCCCCTGCAGGCTGCGGAGGTGGGTGAAGCTGAGTGTGGGGGCAGAGCAAGAGGTGCCGGTGGACCGAAGCGGACTCGGAAGGCTACCAGGGCCCGCGCTGGGGCTGCAGGGGACCCGACCCTGCTCCTGGGTTCTGTGTCCTCCGAGAGGGATTTGCTGCCTCCCACACCCGCTCTGGAGAACGCTTGGTGGCACAGACCGTTCCCCAAAGCAGCTCTGGCGGTGACTCCAGGGCCCCGCCTCGGCGGGGGAAGCAGATGCCGCAGGCGGTGCAGTGCAGCGGAAGCTGCTGAGAGCCGGCCACCCCAATGCCGCCTCCGCTGCTCTGGGCTCTGTGAGCTCCCCTGCACACTGACCCCTCCGAGCCTGCTTTCCTAGCGTGCTGTCGGGGCTCTGGAGGGGTGCGCCTCCCACCCACGTTGGAGAGAAACCCTGGGTTCCCAACCCCATCCAAATCCACGCCCCTGCGGCTGGGCGCCAGACCCATCACACCGCGCCCAACGTGGTTTCTAACCTCCTCACACACCCGAGGTCTGGATTGCCCCTAACTGCTTTCTATTGAAGTGGTCACATTCTCAAGTTCGTTTTTGCATAGCTATTACATTCACACAGTTCAAATGGCAAAATGTTTGCTAATAACTGATTTCCGGGAAGAAAAAAAGTTTACTACGATCGGTGGAGAAATTTCCTCTGCCATTAGGTGTCTGACCTCCAGAGACCTAGTTACCCCATCCCACAAGCAATCAATGACGCCAGTTTCTTGATTCTTTCAGACGTCTTTTATGCATATTTTATGAACACACACACACACACACACACACACACACACACACATTTCCCCCCATACTAGACACACTGCTCTGTACCTTACTTCTTTCACTTGACCATACAGCTTGGAGGGTTTTCCATACCAATCCACACAGAGCTTCTTTACACCTCAGAGGGGTCCGTTGTAAGGATTCTTTATTTAATCAGACCCTATTAATGCTTCTCGTCTCTTGCTATTTTGCTTACCCTTATGGAAAGTCTGGTTTGCCCAGTGGTTGGTGTGCTGGGTGGCGAGGGTCCTGACCTCACTCCCTTCAGTGGAGCAGGGTGCTGCCCTGGACGCCTCCCCGAGGCTAACGGAGGCTGAGGGGTCTATGTGCTGCAGTTCCGTTCCTCTGCCTGGAACACGCCCCTCCCAGACAGCCAAATGGTCCACGTTCTCATTCCTTTCCAGTTATAATTCGGGTACCATCCCCTGGTGGACCAATCTTCATCTCCATTGTCTTCATCTCGGTGAGCTGAATAGCACCTGTGTGTGCATTGGGAAAAGTCGCCCCTTCCCTCAGGCAGACACAGCATCTTGTCAGGGGGCAACTATCGGCCTGTGGAGAGCGGGCAGAATTTCAGACTCCGCGTACCCTCTCCGCTGGGTACCCACGTGCAGGGCACAAGCTGCATCCAGTGGCCCTATTCAAATATCAGCCCTGTGAGGTGGCTTCCCTTTCTAAAAATGCAAATTATCCTCCCCCCAACACACACACACTCACTCTGTCCTTCCCTGCTATAGTCTCCTTACTAGCACTCAGCACTGTCTGACATACTCAATATTTTCTTTACCTTTTCTATTGCTACACAGAGATTTTTCTGTTTTTGTCCTGGAACCATGCCTGCCCCCATAGACATTCAAAAAGCATTTGTTTGACGAAGGGCCCCTTCTCTGCCCATCCTATGGGGGGTCCTGAGGCAGCCACGGAAAGGGGTGGAGGACAAGGAGAGATGGAGGTTCGGCAACTTCTCTTAGGGTCAGAGGTTCAGCCCCTCAGCGGGAGAATCACAATATTGTCCCTTCTCTCTCACTTGTTATTTCTGTGCAGTCTCTTCCCACTCTGCCTCTTGCTGTGTTAGCCAGCCAAAGGCCAGGCAGGGCAGTGGAGCTGTGAGCTTGTTCTCTCCCCTCCAACTGGGGTGGGTAGGTGGGTGCTGGCTAACTGCCCCTCCTTCTCTTTAGGTTTGGAGCTGACTTACTGCCCAGGCCTCTGGAGTCCCCCAGATGGGGCCGCAAGGGAGGACCTTCAGGACACGGAGAGACCCCAAAAGAGGGTCCGGACTATGTTTACCCTGGAGCAGCTGGAGGAGTTGGAGAAAGTGTTTGCAAAACAGCACAATCTGGTAGGAAAGAGCAGAGCCCAGCTGGCAGCCCGGCTCCACCTCACAGAGAACCAGGTAGGAATAGAGACTGGTTCTTACAAGGGTATTTCCTGGATCACATGATCTCACACATCTATAGGAAATAATGAACAATATAAACTGATGAACAAAAACAGACCCAGAGAAAGAAGCAGCGATCAGACTCTCAAACCTCAGAGGGAAGGTAGGGGAGGGTGGGGGTAAAAGGGAGAGATCAACCAAAGGATTTGTGTGCATGCATATAAGCCTAACCAGTGGCCATGGACAACAGGGGGGTGGAGGCATATGTGGGAAGGGGTTTGGGACGGGAATGAGGGGATGAAGAGAATTATGTGATACCATAATCAATCAATAAATCCCCTGTGATGTAAAAAAAATAAAGTGTTAAAAAAATACTTGTTGGATGAATGGATGAATGAATGGCAACTGGAATTAAGGAGAAGATGTGTTGGGGGCAATTCTTCCTTTAAATGGAAGAGCAAACTTTGAGTGGAGTGGGTGCTGTGGGAATGGGAGAAGCGATGATCTTTGCCTCCCATTACAGGTGAGGATCTGGTTCCAGAACCGCAGGGTCAAGTATCAGAAGCAGCAAAGGCTGAAGCCGCCAGCCGTGTCTGCCATGGCGGCCTCCCCGGATGAGCCCTCCAGCAGCTCTGACACCGTCATCCAGAGAGAAGACACGGAATCACGAGGGGACAGCTGAGGATCGGGATGAAGGCTCAACCCAGGCTGTCTGGGCTGGCTCTTCCTGGGGACACGCACTGGACCTACCTGCTTGCTCTACCTATTAACAAAGAGTCTCATTGGGGTCAACGGGCGCCAGAGAAATCTGAACTGTTGAGAACTTTTCAATATTGACTCCTGGGAGTTGCAATAATGCAATGGTCAGGAGCACAGGCTTTGACCTTCAGCTATGTCTTTGGCCACGTTACTGAACTTCTGAGCCTTTTTTCTTCACCTGTATCCTGAGTGTGTTGATAACTTAGAGCTCCCAGGGCTAAGATGATGTCTGTAAAGCACTTACAGTGTGCCAGGCCCGGTGTTAAGGGTGTGGCCACTGCTAAGGCTTATAGACCCCCTTCACCTGGGGCGAGTGGTGCCCGAACCAGCCCTGGATTTCCCAGGGATTAATCTCCTCCTGGCCTGGTTGTGGAGCAGAGAGGGCCTCCTTGAATCAATGTCTGGGCATAAAAGACTCTTCCCTGACAGAACTGGTAGAGTTGACAGGAAAAAAAAAAAAAAAAAAAAAAAGAGGGAAGGGTAGGCTATTTAGTCCACTTTCCCTCACAAGGTTCCCTGAAATTTTCTTGTTTTGCCTTAACTGTTATAATTCTCAGAAGAAGCTCAGGCCCAGGTGCCTCCTTGAAGCAGACATGCTAACCTGACCACCATCTTTCTCTCTAGCTTCCCACCTTGACACCCCCCTCCCCATATTTATATAGAGCAATTTGACTCTGCCTCTGCCAAAGCTGGCATTTTACCATAGACTCTGCTGTTTTTTTCATAAAACAGTTATTATTTACCCCTCTTCACTACCCGGACTCATAGTTCCCTTTCCTTCCCAGGCATCGGTTTGGTTTGTCTCTAAGAAGCCTGACAGCCTACCTCAGTGAAGACAGTCACAAGCATTTTCAGGGTTGATTTCTCTAAGGCTCCACATTCCTGGGTGGTGGGCTGTGGAGGCTATTTCTTTAGAATGTGGAGGTGAGCTGGTGGGAGGAGGCCTGCCCTGCCACCTGGTGGTGAAAGAGGGCACAGTCCCTGCTGCTCTGTTTTTTGAGAGGAAAAGCAGGCAGTAGAGTCAGTCTTGGAAAACCACCTGCTTCCCAAAGCAGTGGGCCATCCTCTCCTGGACACCAGGCTGTAGGCGTGAGGGAGGCCAGGGTCCAGCTCCAGGAACCCTTCTCTGTACCTATCTTCAGGGAAACCCTCCATAACGCTGGATCCAAAGGCAACTCTTCTTCTCTTCTCTTCCTCCTCCTCCTCCTGTTCCTCCTCCGCCTTTTTCTTCTTCGTTGTCATCGTCGTCTATCAACAGTTACCTTTTCAGCAGTTACTGGGTTCTACTCAATCCCCAATTGTCACCCTGAGACCACAGCAGAAGCAGACACAGGCCCCTTTTCAAGGAAGGACAAGGAAACAGGCATGGTGGTCAGGCCTGGCTGAGGGGACACATGACATAGATCAGTGGTTGCAGCTTTCTGGGGTCCTGGATGAGAAAACGGCCCCTCTTTTGTGGTCAGGACAATGTGCACATGTACACTCACTCTCCTGCATATAATTTTAGGGGATCTCAGACGTGACGTCCACTATGGATCCTACTCCACCCCGCCCCTTGCCCCGGCTGCAAAGTCCCTAAGCCGCTAAAGAGTCTGAGATAAAGATAAGTCCAACTTCATCATTCGTAGGACAGTCTGCCCCGCTGCCAGAGGGCCCACGGAGAAGGGAAATACTCTGCCAGACTTTGTGGAGTAAGCTAGTGCTTCCCCTCAGGTTGAGGGTTAGAGAGGAGAGGAGAGGATCCACAGACTGCTTTGGTCAAGACACACCAGTGAATGGACAAAGATGACAGACACACAAACATGAACTCAGACACAGATGCACACACATCAAAACTATACAGCACAGCAGCTCTGATACAGGCCCACGCTGGCCTCAAAGACAGAGACAGATGCAAAACTGCACAAACGTAAAAGCACAAAGGCAGACTCAGCTGGCATAGCTCAGCGGTTGGGCATCTTCCTACGAACCAGGAGCTCACAGTTCGATTCCTGGACAGGGCACAGGGCGGGGGTTGCAGGCTCCATCCCCCATGTGGGGTGTTCAGGAGGCAGCCCATCAATGATTCTCATCTTGGATGTCTCTCTCTCTCGCTTCCTCTCCTTTCCTCTTTGAAATCAATAAAAAAATATATTTTTAAAAGTTATAAAATACGTAAAAAAGTTAAACAAATATGTAATTATCAACAAGTGAATCTAAAAACCAAGGGAATTAAAAAAAATCTGATGAACAATATTAACTGGTGAATATAATAGAATCAGAGGTATGGAAGGGGAGTAGTGAACTGACGATTCTTAGGGAAAAGCGGAGTGGGGGGGTGCGGGAAGAGACTGAACATAAACTGTGCACCTATGAATGAAGACAATGAGGGGTTGGGAAAGGGCAGAGGGTGGGGTGGGAACCTGGTGGAGGGGAGCAATGGAGGGAAAAAAATGAGGAACATTTGTAATAATATGAACAATAAAGATTTATTATTATTATTTTTTTAAAAGCACAAAGGCAGGCCCAGCTCCACCCAGTCCACACACCAGCAGATCTAAACACAGATCAAACGGACCCAAATTCGGATTCGCTAGCGGCCGAGCCGGGGGGGCGGGACCAGAAGGGGCGGGGCCTCCGGGTCAAGGGTCAGGAGGAGGAGGAGGAGGCGCGCCCAAGATGGCGGCCTCCATGTGCGACGTGTTCTCCTTCTGCATGGGCGTGGCGGGCCGGGCCCGGGTCTCCGTGGAAGTTCGCTTCGTGAGCAGCTCCAAGGTGAGGCCGGAGGAGACCCCCCCACCCCGTCCGGCCTTGGGAGCAGCCCCGGGGGACCCCTTACCAGCTCGCAGCTGGGGGAGCGGGGGCTCCCGGTCGGTCCCCGCGCACAGGCTCCGGGCGGTCACGCGGTGTACCGGGGCCTCCGGGCTCCGAGCGCCCCCTCCGCGGGCCCGGCCCGGCCCGGCCCGCAGGCAGCCCTCCTCCGGCTGCCGCAGGCGGGGCTGGGAGCGGGGACCCCGGAGCTCCCGACCCAGGATGCGGATCCGGGCTCCCGGCCCCCAGGCGCGGTGGGCGGGGAGGGGAGAGCCGAGGGGAACGCGACGTGGGTCCCCGGGGAACTTTCTGGGGCAGATTTGGGTGAGCAAGGGCCTGGCAGGGCTCAAGAATTTGGGACGGAACCTGCGGCCCGCGGGAGCATTTGGAGGGGCTGAGCAGGAGAGTGAGGTGGTGGTTGTCACTTTTTATTGTTGCTTTTTTAAAAGTTCGTTATAAAGAAAAAGAAAATTTGAAAACGCATGTAAAGAAAGAAGGTTAAAAAAAATGAAATCACCTGCCATCCTATTCTTGTGCAGTATGTGTGTATAAGGTCCCATTTTTTAGAAACTGCTTTTTGTTGCAGCAGTAAATCGCCCAGCCTCACTAACCCTATTTCTGTGTATTCCTTTTTAAACGCTAAATAAAAGTTTTCGTTTATTTCATGGGAGGGCGGCAGTTTCCTCTGCCAGATACTTATTTACAGGCCCTTATGATATAGCTGATTTTTCCCTGAGGTCAAAGATCTGGAAGCACACATCCCTTTGTTCTCTCCAGCACTGAGTATTTCCTCTCCTAGTTATTATGGTTGCCATTGATATGTGCAAAATGGCATTGCTTTGTTCTCATTTACATGTCTTTGTTTACTAGCAGGTGAATAATTTATCCCGTGTGTACCCTTAGCCCTTATCCGACATGTCAGCCTTCATGCCGGTCCAGAAGCCCAACCCAATTTCCATTGCCCTTTTTTGCACAGGGGACCTGGAGCATGCCTCTCCTTGCATGGCAGTCCACTCCCCGACATCCTTGGCTTCCTCAGCTGCTCACACCTCGGTCTCCACCCCGTGGCCTGTAGTATCGATTGGCTTACACTTAGATGGTGTCTCATTCCATCACTCCTGGAATGCAGAAACTTTTACCTTTACCATCACTTAGTGCCCCCCCCCCCCTCCCTCCCTTCTTTCTTCACTTCTTCCCTCTCACTTCATTACCACTCTGCTTGCCTAATTGTCCTGGCTCGGCCTTCTATCAAAACCCCAGCTCTGGGAGAATGCGCTGGCTGCCCTCCCCATGATGACACCTGATCTGCGGCTGGAGAAAAGCATACACCTACCCAGGCTTAGTGACAAAAGAGTAGGCTCTTTGCATCTATTTTCATCAGATGAGATTGGTTTATAATTTTATTTTGTGTAATTTCCCCAGTTACCACATTAGTTATGTTTTGTTTTTGAGTAAAATGGAGAAGCTTTATACTGTTGTATATATTGTAGTTTAAATAGCATGAGAATTATTCTTTGGTCTGACAGAGCTGGCTCATAAAACCATATAGATTAGGAGTCTCCCGTGGGCTAGCTTTGATCACTTTATTGCTCCTATGGATATTGGCCAGAATGCTTTCTTAAGAATTTACCAACTATTATGCCAGGGACATGACTACTCACAACAGAAACCTGATCAAATACAGGGATGCCGACCAGAGCGCCATACTGGGACACATCAGCCAGAAAACAACACTGCTTTTTAGTCTGTCTAGGTTTTCTTACTTTTAAAAAAATATGTTTTTATTGATTTCAGAGAGAGAGAGAAAGAGAGAGAGAAACATCAATGATAAGACAGGATCATTGACCGGCTGCCTCCTGTACACCCCCTACTGGGGATTGAGCCTGCAACTCGGCATGTGCCCTTGACTGAAATCAAACCCAGGACCCTTCAGTCCACAGGCTGACTCTCTATCCACTGAGCCAAACCAGCTAGGGCGAGGCTTTCTTACTTTTGAATTAAGTTTTGGCAATTTATATTTTTTAAATAAAATCATCCATTTAATAAAGATTTTTAAAATTTAGTGCAGCCTTAGAGTTTTGTACAATATTTTTTATTTACTTGCCAAATTGGAAATATGCTTGCATACTTTGTGCCCTTTCCATTCAGGTTCAGTTCTCTCCAAGCTTCTTGGAAATATGAATTAGAGCTGTTTTCTTGCAACACTTTCATGTTTTGGGGATGTGTGGTTTTATAGAGGAACAGTTCTGCTTCCCACTTTGTTTTGATTACTTAATATTACTGCATTTTGGTCCTCAAGAAGGAGAGCAATATTTATCCAATACTGAGATTTGAGATCGTCAGAGATAATATTTATATCTTTATGTCCCGTAGCAGAAGGCCAAATTTCATTTTGGGAGATTGGGTCCCAGGGGCCACAAGGTATGGGTGGGGTTTTCAGGAAGACAGCGGAAGTGCATCCACGGCTGTGCCCAATGGTTTTGTTCCAACTCCCACGGTACTGTGAGAGCTCCCAGAGCTGGCTGTCCAGAGGGGTGAGCTTTGTGGCTGTGGGTTTCGCAGGCCTGTTCGGGTCTGCACTTCCTGCTGCTTTGACTTCGGGAGGTGGCCCCGTCTGGCCAGAGCTCCATTGCTAGAAGACAAGGCGCTACGCATGAGGCCACATGACAAAGACATTTAACTGCTGTGCTGACCACTTCTCTCTCTCCCTTTTCGTGACAATTCAGGGTTTGCAAGGCACTTCTTTGAGTGAACGGTGGAAGCAAATGCCTGGTGGGGCCAGTAACTTCCCTGGGTTCTAAAGCTGTCTCCGGAATCCCTTTGCACTCAGAGGTGCAATCCAGCGATAATTTTCTCGTCCTTCGACTTTTTCCCGATGTGGATGGTGCTTTAGACTTCTAGTTCTCAAACTTTGACATGCCTATGAAGCATCTAGGCATCTTGTGAAAGTCATATTCTGATTCAGCAGGTCTGGGGTGGGGCCTGAGACTCTGCATTTCTGACAGCCTCCTAGCTGATGCCCAGGCTGCCAGTCCATCCCCTCACTTTGAGTAGTAAGGAGGTAGAGCTTATGGGGTGCATGACCTGTGCTGTATCCTGGGAAATACCTGTTTGCTAATATTAAATACTCATTTTTCCTGTGGGAATCAGATACAAAGAAGTGAAGCAATTAGCTTAAAAGTTCAAGCAAGTAAGCATTAGGATCAGTGCTACGATTAGTCATTCTTTTCAGAGTAACCCCTGCGAAGTCGTTGGGTGCCAGGTACTATGCCAGGTGCTGTGAGTATCTGCCCAACCAGGGAAATAGGGTGTATTCTCCCCCAAGCTAGGTCTCCCTCTCCCATGGTGTGGGATTTCTGTGCAACCATTCATGGCAGCATCACTGCCGGATCCTGGAGGGCATGGGGGTGACTCCGAGAAGGCTGCCCTGCTGTTACCAGCTCCTGGTACAGGAGGCCCAGCCTGCTCTGAGCTGCGGCCCTCCTTGAGCCATTCTAAAAATTCTCCTTAGGGTGTTCTGGGATGGCTGACATCCCGGGCCCTCTCCTCTGAACAGAGCTGCATTTTCAGAGGAGGCCGCTGTGGGGCGCTGGCCTTGCTCCGTGAACCCCCTGCCTCTGCTAAGAGGTAGCATGGGGTGAGGCGGGTGGCCCTCCAGGAGCCTTGGAACTGTGCTCTGCTTCTTCTAATGGCCATCCTGCTCCTTCTCTGCCCTCTCAGGGAAAGGGGCTTTTTGCCACGCAGCTGATCCGGAAGGGGGAGACCGTCTTTGTAGAACGGCCCCTGGTGGCCGCACAGTTTCTCTGGAATGCACTCTATCGCTACCGAGGTGAGCACACGCCATGCCTGGGGCTGCTGGGCCCGGCTGCCTCTGCACAGGGAGAGCTGCATGCCCCCGCGGGTGGGTGCCTCGGGATGTGAGGAGGAGAGGCTGTCTTCCTTGGGGAACTGCCCCTGAGAACCACAGTCTGATCTCAGGCTGTTGGGGGCTGTGAGCCTATAGGGAAGAGGCTTCCAAAGTGTCCCCGGGGGAGGGCTGTCACTCGGGTGAAACTCAGTCCACCCTGATAATAGAAGGGACTGGATGTCATGCTGGCGGGCCCTGTGCCAAAGGGGAGCCTTCTACCCGAGCCACAGGCCCCGTGGTGAGGAAAGGCTGCATTGAGGGTCAGAAACCAGCCACAGGCTTCCCCCCTTCTCTTTTCTTAGGCCAGAGATAAACTGGGAGGAGGGTCCCTTTTTTCCAGAATGTTGGGAAAGTCCAGTCTTGGGGAAGGGATGGGAGCCCCACTGACTAAGTCCCATTGAGAAGCAGGGTGCATTCTTTAACGTATTCATTTACTCACTTTCTAAACATTGGGAGCATCCGCTATGGGCCCAGCACTATTCTAGCCCTGGGATACTGCTGTGAAATGATACATGTGGACCCTGCTCTCGAGACAGACTGTCCTGTCTGGCTCTCTCCCTCAGCCTGTGACCACTGCCTGCGGGCACTGGAGAAAGCGGAGGAGAATGCCCAGAGGCTGACCGGGAAGCCCGGCCAGGTGCTGCCTCACCCTGAGCTGTGCCCTGTGCGCAAGGACCTCCACCAGAGCTGTCCCCACTGCCAGGTGAGTGTCCTTGCGGAGGGTGCCGGGAAGGGACGGATGGAAGAGACCTTAGCTGAAGTCCCCTTTGGGGAATCAGCAGCGGAGACGGACCGGGTCCCGGCCCCTGAGAACCACAGTGTAGGACAGGACATTGAAAAGGCTCAGCTGCTGTGCAGTTTCACCCTCTTGCTCCAGTCCCTTTGTCTGGAAAGTAGGCTGGATGGGAGCTTGTCCCCTTCCTAAGATCCTGGTGGGGGCTCTCCCCTCGACCTGCCTAGCTCTCTTTCCCTCGGTTTTACAAGCCTGGGGTTGTAGGTGACCCCTCATGTGCCCCCAGAGCACTGTGTGCTCCCCATGTCACAGCAGCCTGGGCTCCTGCTCGGGGCTGTTTGTGGAAGGGATGCAGTTAGAGGAGGTGAGTGCCAGTGGGACCTCCGCCCCCTCCAACAGGTGATGTACTGCAGTGCAGAATGTCGGCTGGCAGCCGCTGAGCAGTACCACCGGGTCCTGTGCCCAGGCCCCTCCCAGAACGACCCCCTGCATCCTCTCAATAAGCTGCAGGAGGCATGGAGGTAGGTGGCATTTCATCTCTTCTTTCCTTTATTCCTCCCTCCCCTGCCTGCATTCAACAGATGCAGCCATTTTTCTTAAGTTACCATCCCCCAGAATTCCCCCACCCCCATTCTTACGGTTAAACAGAGCCCCCTGCGTTTTGTTTGAGCCGCCAGTCCCACCATCCTCAACATTTTACACCTTCCCCTAAGCCTATAGGAATGTAAAGTCCTTTCCAAGCCTTTGCCCATGACTTTCTCTCCAATCTGTAGCAGTCAGACTGGACTTCCTTGAAAACAGCTACTTGGAGGGAATTCCTAGGCCGAACCTTTTTCTTTCTCCCCAGGAGTGTTCACTACCCCCCTGAGACGGCCAGCATCATGCTGATGGCCCGGATGGTGGCCACGGTGAAGCAGGTGAGCCCCCCGGACCCCCCCCGGGAAGCGGAAAAGGCTTCATTCTACCTCGGCCTCGGCCTCCTGCTTGGATGCAGAGTTCCTCCCGGGCTTCTTCCTGCGGAAACCCTAGGAGCTGATAACCATAAATCTGGCAGGGAGTGGGCACTCGTCTTGTCTATAGGCTTTGACCTCGGAGAGGACATTCTTGTGCAGGAGGAATTCATGCATTCGGTTTGTAAGCACCACTTTTTTAGGATCGTGTCTCTTACATAAAGTGAGAGAAGCCGTGCTAACCCCTCCTATTACTATTTTTGCTCAAGTGTTGAATTGGCTAGATTGGCCCCAGTTGGAGAGATAGCTGGGGATATACAGGTTGGAAGGAAGTCCCAGGTCAAGGGAAGGGTCTACCTAGAAGCTCAGGTGTGATGCAGGGGCGACAGTGGCAGTCAGGACGTGGTGTCTGTGAGTCCGTGTGTGCACATGCATGCACAGGTATGTGCGAATGTGACCTGAAACATTTGTTCACTGCAGGCTAAGGATAAGGATCGTTGGATCAGGCTCTTCTCCCAGTTCTGTAATAAAACGGCCAATGAGGAGGAAGAAATTGTCCACAAACTCTTGGGGGACAAATTCAAGGTTGGTCTTTTCCCATGCCCCCTCCACCCCAATAGCCTGGAATGTTCTGTGGCTTCCTGCGGAGCTCCGCATTTGGTCCCTTCCCAGTGAGAAATCTGTTCAGAGGACTTAACGTTCCTGCTGTTATTTAACTTCATGACTTAATGTGGGCCCAGAACTGGGAAGTGGGATAATGACAGAGGAAGGAGGGGTGGAACAGCAAGACCTCGTGATGGGACAGCAGTGGGTATGCCAGGTGTAATGAACAGTGGAGGGTTGGGGACCCACAGGGTCAGGGAGCAGTAAGTATCCACTGCCAATCAAAGAATTACAAAATCTGAGGACAGTGGGTTTCCATGCAGGAGCTCCCTGAAGGTGGAGGCAGATGTGTGAAAAGGCATCTAGGGTGGATCTTCCTGCATGGAGTCCTGAGGAAAGGGCGGAGGGGAGAGTCAGGCCGGTCTGGAGGCTAGTTAGGGGTGGCTGGGGTTGGTGGTGAGAACAGGTGTTCTAAGCCAGGCTTCCGTGGCCCTGCTGGCAACGAGGCTGGAAAATGGGGATTTGGGGTTTGCCGCTCTGATTTGAAGTAGACCGGTGACTGCCGTGGCTCTTTGTAGATAAGGACTGTGGCCTTCCTCTGCCCCCAGGGAGAGCTCAGTCTACAGAGCTGGCCCTTTTCCTTCCCTCACAAGGTCGTCCGGGCCCTGCCTGGGTGCTGATGGGAAATCCTCAGGGATGCAAGTCTCTCCCTGTCTTTCCTAAACCAGGGCCAGCTGGAACTTCTGCGGAGGCTCTTCACGGAGGCCCTTTATGAGGAAGCGCTCAGCCAGGTGAGTGAGGAGGGTGGGACCAGTGTCTTCCCCAGTCACTCCGGCTCTCCAGGGGCCACTGGGTCAGCATTTCCCCCGGGACGTGGACAGCCGAGCGAGAGCTGACTTGGTCTTCGGGAGTTGGGGTGGGGCTGACTCACAGAAAACTTCCTGAACAAAGAGTTGTATCAGGAAGAAAAGCAAGTGGCTGGGCCCTGAGTGCTCATCTCTTTTCTGCCCCACAGTGGTTCACTCCAGATGGGTTCCGGTCTCTCTTTGCGCTTGTTGGGACCAATGGTCAAGGAATTGGGACCAGGTTAGGAGACCCTGTTCCAGATATATTGGATTTGTCCCTCGGGGCTTGGGTGGGAAAGTAACTAAGGAAGGTAGCCACCCCTCCTTCTAAGGCTAGGTGGGGCAGGTGCAACTCTGGCCAGAGTTGTCATATTGATGGGGGTCAGAAAGACTGAGCTGGTGGAGTCTGCTCCCATTGGGATTCTTGGTCTCTGGGGAAGACAGGGCCCCTACCCTGGAGAAAGAAATGGGTGTAACTTGCCTGGAGGTGGAGAGCCCTGTTCGCTGGGCCTCCTGCTCTCCAACCGCCACTGCCTGGGACCCTCAGCTCCCTCAGCCAGTGGGTCCATGCCTGTGACGCTCTGGAGCTGAAGCCACAGGACCGCGAGCAGCTGGATGCCTTCATTGACCAGCTGTACAAGGACATCGAGGCAGGTGGGTGAAATGGAGACACCGCCACCCCACTCCCCACCCCCCGGTCACATCCGGACCGTTTTCCCCATTGAGCTCTGAGTTAATGATGGGGGCCGTCATCCTGTGTGCCTGTGGGAAGCTTCCTATCTGTCTGAGGGACACACAGATGAGAAATGGGCCTGAGATCCGTGCAGAGGCTCCATGCTGGAGGTGGGGAGTGCTGGACAGAGTGCTATCACTTACAGGAAAGCAGGGCTCATGCCTCAGAGATGTAAGTTCATCCGTAAGGATCGGCTGCATTCGTGTGGTAGGAGGGCAGGACAGTGAGGCAGTGCCTTACCTTATAAGCCTGGTTTCCTTTTTCCTGTAAAACGGGCAGAATAACACCTGCCTATTACTTCTTACAGCCACTGGCGAGTTCCTGAACTGTGAAGGATCAGGCCTCTTTGTGCTTCAGAGCTGCTGTGAGTCCTCCACTGAGGAGCGGCGCCCTCAGAGTTATAGTTCATTGCTTTTGTTTCGCTTCTTTTAGGCGGATGGGGTTGAGTCTGGGAGTGGGGTTAGATCTGAGCTTCCTTTGGAGAATCCTTTGGTCCTTTTTGGCCTATCAGTTTTTCATTCGTTCATTCATTGGATTGCTGGTGCCTTAGTATATGTTTATATATAAAAACTTCCAGTGGGTCAGGCCTGTGTTCTGCAGGGCACTGAGCTCTGATTTTCTTAAGAGAAGCATAAACTGTGCTCCTCCACTGCCCTGCGAAGTTTGGCAGGGAAGTGTGGGGAGAGCCTGGGAGCCCTCAGGAACCGGGGAGGAGGGAAACTCGGGCCAGCAGTCAGTCCCCACCTGCTGGGGAGGGGTAGTCCGCTCAGACTATTTATTGTCTGTTCTAGCACCCAGCCTCCCACCCTCTAGTTTCCTCCCTGCAAATCCTCTCCCCAGGTTCCAGAGCCACTCTTCCCTCCCAAACTAGGCTCTCAGAGGGCCGGGCCGAGTTAGTGGTCTGGCACAGACAGCCCTTTCAAAGCCCTGTCCCTCTTTTGTGAGACCCTGGGAACACAGCTGAGAGTCGGGGTGGCCAGTGAGGAGGAAAGCAGGGGCAGACGTGGACTGTAGGAGAGGGAGCGATGTGGGATACACTTGTGACTCAATGGTCTCAGGAAATGAGCTCCAGGATCTGCACAGCCCTAGATAGATCCCATCCTTCCAGAAAACAAGGAAGGATGGGGCCTCGTGCTCTAAGAGTTGAGGCTGTTTTTATTAGTCAGCAATCCTCATTACTTGCCTCTCGTGACCCAGGCAACCACAGCTGTGTCCCCAATGCAGAGACCTCCTTCCCAGAAAACAACTTCCTTTTGCATGTCACCGCCCTGGAGGACATTAAGCCGGGAGAGGTGAGGGGGCCGGGGGCTGTGGGGAGCGTGGGGGGTGGCAGTGGGCCTTGTGAGTTCTCTCGGGGAGACTGGGAGCGGCAGTGGCTAGGGCCTAAAGTCAGGCTGCTGAGTTGAATCCCCGACACCCCAGGGCATGAGTCGTTCTGCTCCTAGATATTCTCTAACCCCACCCCTTAAAAAATAACTCAGAAAACCTCAGAGCAGCGTTTGAGAAACAGCTGTGTGCCAGGTTCTTATCCCCAGCTACCCTGTGATGAAAAATCTACAACTTCTAAGAAAACGGGAGATGCCTCTTTGTGGCTTGGACTGTGGGGAGCTACTTCTGGTTTTCAGTGCTGCAATCTGGTTGACTCTTCCAGGACAAGTTGCATCTCACCAAGATAACCTCTAAACCCAGCCACTGATCTTGCCTTAATGCCACTAAGCCTAGCCTGCGGCTAACTGCTGTCCCCTCTCCGCCTGCCTCATATGTAGATTGTTAGAGCTCGTAGTGACCTGCTTGCTGAGGACACAGAGGAATGGATCGGGGCAGCCCACCCCTACACTGAAGGGCAGCTCGGGCCCTTGGGGATGGAGCAGAAGTTGGGGATAGGGTAGTGATTGGGGAGTCCCTAATCCCACCTAATAGCACAGACTGTCAGACCCCACTTCTCTGCGTTCCAGGAAATCTGTATCAGCTACTTAGACTGCTGTCAGCGGGAGCGCAGTCGCCACAGCCGCCACAAGATCCTCAGGTGCCTGCCGGGAAAGTGGTGGGCAGCTGGGCTCAGCCTCTATCCCAGTGGCTGCCTGACTTTTCACCTTCCCCCCCACCCCCATCTGCTGCAGGGAGAACTATCTGTTTGTCTGTTCCTGCCCCAAATGCCTGGCAGAGGCTGATGAACCCAATGTGACCTCAGAGGAGGAGGATGAAGAGGAGGAAGAAGGAGAGGCAGAAGATGCAGAGCTAGGGGACGAAATGACCGATGTGTGATGTCACCGTGCTTGGAAGGGGCCCTACCCCAGACTCTGCCAGAAAATGGGCCTTCCCCCAGAGAAGAGGCTTGGAAGGAAGTCCCCACTCCCGTTGCCTGCTCCCCCCTCCCGCCCCGCCCTGTTCCAGCTGTTTCTGCCGGAGGGCAGGAAAGAGGCTGGACCCTGGGCTCTCCACTCCCCACCAGACCTCATGCCCTGGACACTGCTGCCGAGGGGCTCGGGTTCTGCGCTGTCGCTGAGCCTTTCAGAATCGGCCTCCTCCTGACGTACTCCATTCCAGAGTGTGAGCGGCTGGAACAAGGTCAGGGCCTAACAGTACTTCTTCCCCCTTGGCCCCACGGCTGCGCCTTTCCGTCCGTCCGAGGCCTCGCCCCTCTCTACTTGCTATTGAAGGGGTAACAAAGTGGCAGTCTGAGAACAGCCTTACTTTATTGAAGAAGAAAGAAGAGGTGGTGCATTGCCCTCACCTTCCCCACCTCCCATCGTGGTAGCTAATAAGGCAACTGCCTGACTACTGCTAGCACAGCCGAGTGAGGCAGGAAGGAGGACCCGGGCCTCTGGAGCACTCTCCCTACGGCTCTGCCAGGAAACACTGAGCCCGGGGGAGTGACTTCCCCTCCTTGGACGTCGGGGGGAGTGGAGATGAACTCCAAACTCCAGAATCTCTATTTTGTGCCTTGCCTTTCAGGCCCTGGCACAGTGGCTGGCCCCACCGCACGGAGAAGGCTTCTGCCTCCCTCAGGAGGGGCGTGTGGGTAATCGTTACCCCTTCCTCACACCACTTCCCGTTGAAGACTCTAGCAGCATGGCTGAGACCTGGTGGGTGACAGGCCTGTGCATCATAGGATGGCCCCCTGGGACCAGGTGAATAGGGGCCTCAGTCCATCGTTAGGGTCTCCACAGAGGAACACTGAAGTCTTCCAGAAACCTAGAAGAGCTGGGTTAGATACTCGGAGATTAGCCCTGATTGTATCCCCCAACCCCAAATTGGCAGCACCCCTCGCTCTTGTTTTGGGTGCTGTGGGAATTATAACCCATCACTTGCAATTCCTTTCTGCCTGCCTTCCCTAAGGGGTCTTCACACCCCCTGCTAAGGGATTTTAGGAAGGCAGGTACCTGCCTGTCTGGCCTATTGGGTTCTTGCTCCTTCACAGCAGGCAGCTTCTCCTCCTACCCCCACCTGCCCACTGTTCTCAATAAAATGTGAGTGGTGACAGGCCTCTGAAGGAATGCTTGGTGGAGAACTTGACAAGCTGCCGGAGCGCACAGCAGTCATGTGGGTGGTGAAAGGCTCAAAAGGTAGACCGGATAATGGCAAGAGGTGGGAGCTCTAGCTTCCCAGTTTAGGCTCATCTCTGGTCGCACCTACGCTCTGCCTTGCTGATGTTCTAAAGCCCCAGAGCAGGGATCCTCCATGGGCCAGCATGGTTCCCCGGCTCTAGGCAGCAAGAGGAGCCTTCTCCCCAGGGGACTATGGCTCCTAAGATCTTAAGCAGGAGGCTGTGTTGGGATCCAAGATTAGCCATCAGCAGAGGTCCTCAGGGCCCCCGGGCAAGCCATTTATAGACTCTGGGCCTCAATTTCCTCCCCTCAACACAGAGCATGGGGCCAGATGGGTGAGTTTGAAGCCCCACCCCCCCACCCACCCATGTGCTCTTATTCTAGGACACAGTTGCAACCCTGATGAGAGGTTTATTGCTAAAAGTCAGTGAGGGGTTATTAAGTCCTCAAACACTAGCTCCTTAAACCACCCCAATAACTGCTGTGAAGGACACAGGAGACCCTGGGTGGGGGAGGCTGGAGCCGAGCCAGGTGAGATATGACGGGTCACAGATGGCCCTCAGGCCACCTGCCTTTAGCCCCTTTTGTTCCAGATGCTAGCCAAGAGGCCCTGAGGCTTGCATCTTCCCATAGCATGAGACACCCTTGGGAGCCCAGGGGAGGGAGAACAGTGTGACTTTCCTTAGCCTAGCTAAGCCCAAGCCTTTTCCATCTACCTGGCTCCCTTATCCCCAAAGGCTGTCTCCAAGTCCCAAACGCCAGGATTTCTGGGTTCCCCCTTCCCAGCCTAGAGTTGGCTGGAAGGTGGGACCAACTCTTCTACCAGAAGGTCCAGGGTGGTTGCAGCAGCTCAAAGGTGGGGATGCTGGTGACATTGACCGGGATGGAAATGATGGCCCATGGCAGCCCATGCTGTTCCAGGGAGCGGCGGATCATGTAGCTGGGAGGGCATGAAGAGAGGTGGTGATGGTCATTTTCCCAGCACCCCATCATGCCCCACTGTCCCCATCACTCTGGGAGGTCCAGAGCCCGAGGACTTTTGACCCTCCAACTGGTTCACCCCAAGATGAGGCTTGTGGGAAAGGGACTGGTGATTGCCCTTGACCTCCAGAGACAAGGAGCCCTCACCCATCTCGGCCGAGTAGGAAGAGGGCAGGGATGTCAGCCGTGCGCTGGGTACTGTCCTGGATCATCTCCACATAGAAGCTGTCATTGTCAACTGCGTTGTCAGAGATGATCACCGCCCGCCCGCCATGTTCCTGCACCACCCGGGTCTTGGAGAGGAAGGAGCAGCCCCTGGAAAAGGTGATGAGATTAAAGGAAAGGCAGGCTCTTAGCTACCCCTCCCCTAGGTCATCACCCTAGGAGGCTGAACAGACCATAGATAATTTTTCAGAAAGGCTCACGAATAAATGGCCAAAAAGCATGGATAATCTTAAAGACTCTTAAAAAATGTTGAATTATTTAAGAACTATTTCAAAGGACCACCACCACCACTGATCTTAGGAGCTTCCCTATTCCTGCCTTGTGCCAGTGCCTCCCCACGCCTCACCCCCTCTCCACCAGAGCGATCTGGTCCTGGATGAAGAAGCCATTGCTGAGTTCTCCGCAGGCTTCTGAAGGTTCCGCGGGGACAAGGTGGATCTGCTCATACCTTGTGTGCTGAAAGAAACATTAGACAGGTCACGGGGTGAGGAGTGCACCTGCTTTAGGACCGGGCTGATATCCTATTCATCAGTTCCTCACAAGGTGTGAAGAGGTGTGGAGTGGTTTCTGTGTGCTGGCTACTTCTCACAAAATAGTTGCCCTACCCCTTTCCAGGAGATAGGCAAGGGAGCTGGTACGGTCCCAGAATGAGGAAGTAGCTTGCCCTAAGTTATCATTCAGAAGTACAGCTAGCAGGGCCCTTGGTTTTTCATGTTTCCAAAGACAAGTCCCTCCGTGGCGCCCAGGGAAGTAGCTGGAGGCCCTTCCTGCACTGCAGCCCCTGCACTGCTCGCTCCCATGTCCCAGCACTCAAGTATTGGTTGAAGGGAGGAAAGGGAGCACCTCAGCTTAGTGAGGAGAAGATGGCGACAGGATCAGAGAGGAGGGATCCTCCCCAAACTTACAAAGATGCCACCAAAATCCTTTGCGGGTGTAGCTGTGAAAATGTATCGAATGTCTCCGGGACTCAGCACTTGGAAGTACAAATAATCATGGATGCGTAAGCCTGCAAAGTAAAAGGTACAGATGAGAAGCCCCCAGGGACCCTTTGTTGTCAAGAAGGCTGTCTATGGTCAGGGCCCCAGGACTCCGTTTCAGCCAAGTGGGTCCTCCAGTGGGTGAGACATGGTCCCTGCCTTGGGGAGGACAGAGTTGATGCAGAGTTAGTAAATGTTAGTACAGACAGATTTATAACTGCTGCTGTTTACAAAGGTGAGCCAGGAAGACGGCTCTCGTGTGATCTCTGAGGGTTCATCTGTCTTTGCTCTGAAGAGGACCTGAGACTTTCAAGGAGAAGATATGTTAGTCTGGATACAAAACACGCTCCTAAAACTGAAACGTTCACTCTCTGGTCCCAATGCCATCCTCTGCTCCACCACTATCATTTCTCGTCCTGACTAGTCTACCTTCCCTTTTTGCTCTCTGAGGTCCATTCCCCCACCAACAGCCAAGGATATTCTTAAAACATAGGGTCATGTCATCACTCCCCTGGCTTCAAAACCCATCAAAAGCTCCCCTTTGTACTTAAAATCTAAGCTCTTAACTCTGGCCTGCAAGGTCCTGCTCTACCTGGCCCGTGGCTGCTGCTCCAACCTTATTTCCTTCCTCTGTTCCAGCTACACTGGGCTCCTTCCAGTGTCTGCACTCTGAGGCATCTTGCAATCTCTGGAAGGCTGTCTACCCTCACCTCCCCCCCCTCCCCCTCTTCACCTGGCTTACTCCTACTCATCTGTTAGGCCATGGCTTAAACGGCACTTTCTCAGAGAAATCTACTCTGTGACTGCCCTCCCTCTATGTCCATTCAAAATACACTTTTTCTCCATCGACACTTCCAACATAATTTGTAATTCTGGATTATTCATAATTTTTGTTTAATGTCTGTCTCCTCCACTAGAGCAAGGACCATAAGTTTATAGGTTCCTTCCATGCTGTATCCACATTACCTAACAGTGGCTAGGATATAGTGAGTGCACAATAAGGGTTGTTGAATAAACAACTATTTCCAGCTCCCCTGCACGGAGGAAGAGAATTGCCAGAGCCAGGGTTTTCTGGGGTGTGGTAACTTCTCTTTAGCACCAAAGTGTAAGGTTTCACCTAAGCTTGAGTCTCTGGTTTCCTTAGTCCACTGAGACTGATGAATATGGAAGGCTGAGAGCTGCTGCCACCGGACCATTAGTCAATCAACAACCCACCACTGTGTGCCAGGGTTGGGGCTGGCTGCGGCTTTAGTTGTCCTTGTCTACTGCCCAAATCAGCCACCAGGTAGAGCTCCACTGCTTTGGCACTGGGCTATGCATATCTTTTTATCTTGAGAATGAGAGCTTGCCATCGAAAGGCCTCCCTGGGTTAGCACTAAATCCCTCCTCACCCCCCATCCACACACACACATCTGTGCCTGGCCTTTGCATTTGCTGATGTGTGTAAATTAAGCGTGGTATACGTAAGGGTATTTATGTTTCTGTGCCTGTGTAGGTGCAAACAGGTTGTCTATGTACACATGTGCATATGTGTGAGCCCACGTGTAGGGATGTGTGTGACCATATGTGCTCATATATCAACAGCATGCAGGATCTCCAGTGGTCCCTGTTCCTCCTCTCGGTCGCTCCCTCAGCCACCTGCGTCGGCGTTAGTAGGGGTAAGGGAGAATCTTGCTTCGATGTGGGGCTCAGGCCGCGCCCAATTCAAGTTCCTAAGGACCAGCACCCACCCACTCCAGCCGCCTGCACCCGCCGGGTCCCCAAGGTGACCCGTGGCCCCCAGCCCGAGCCGTGCGCAAGCTGGACGGCCCGCCCCACAGCACAGCCCCGCCCGTCGCCGCTCACCGTGGGCCGCGACGCAGGCGGGGAGCCAGAGCAGGAGACACCACCAGCCCGCGGCGCCGACGACCATCTCCGGGCCCGGCCGGGCGCCGCGCTCCCTTCAGCCTCCCCGCCGCCGCGCGTAGCTCGCCGGACTTCAGCCTGACAGCTGCCCCGGCCTCCCGCCCCCAGGCCCGCTCCTGGCGCTGATTGGCGGACGGGAACGAGGCGCACGGCTGATTGGCTGTGACGCCTGCTCTTCTAGCCACACTTTCTACCTCTGCGCCTCAGCCCACTTCCTATTGGTCAGGAGAAGTGGGGCCGAGGGCTGATTGGTCTAAACTCTCAACAGCAACTGCGGCCCCCACCGCAGCCCCGCCCCAGCATTCCTCAGTTCGGATTGGACTCTCCTGACCTCCGGGAATGGTGGGTGGGCTGGCAGGGGGTGACCAGGAACTGGAGGTGGGCTCCGGGCCACACTCGCTTCAGCCGCAAAAATCATCATCAGCTCTTGCGGTCTTGGCGGGATTCTCCGCACGGCCGCCTCACGGCGGGATTTGCCTTCTCCCAGTTCGCTTTCCTCCCCGCACTCCTCCTTGGGAAGATAATCATCCAGCACCCGGGTGATCCCCGGCGCCCCGCTCCAGCTCGTCCCCTGCCCAGTCCCACCGGTGCCTGCGCCGCCCCAGTGGAAGCGCTGAGGACGCGGCAGGTGCAGCCATCCCCGAGGAGGCTCTGGCCAGTGCAGAGCCAGAAAGCGGACGTCGGGACCCGGTGCCCACGACAGCTTCTCTACCACTTTCTGTGCAATTGTGACTTTGGCCACCTTTCCTAAGCTCCCAGACTCAGTGTCCTCATCTGTAGAACGTACGTGATAACAATACCAACGAAACAGGGTTGTGAGTATTAAATGAAAAAACTCATGTTAAGAGCTTACTTAGCATAAGCTTGCTCCACAGTCAGCGTTCAATAAATGTTTGCATTTATTTCATTCCTTGGCATCCAGGGCGAGGAGATAAGATGGAATTAAGGATAGTTAGTGTCGCGGGCCAAGCAAGGATCCTTCATGCTCAGGAAAAAAAAAGAAAAAGAAAAAAGCACGACCAAATTTTGGTGATAACCAGTTTATCGCCAGAGCGCCAGCCCTCCAAGGCTCCACCTCTAGCCCTTCTAGCCACACCGACTCGCTGGTAGAGAAGAACCATAGAGTAACGGAAGTGACCCGTCTCTTCCACTACCGGTTTAACGCTGGTCGAACCTTCTGGGGATTTGTCTGGCGCAGAGCATTGTGGGATTGCTGGGCGGCCCCGACACAGAGCTGGGGAGAGGAGCAGCGGGCCACAGAAGCAGCTTCCAAGATGATGGTGAGTAGTATCGCCCGTATCCTTCGCCATCCGCCGTCTCCAGCGGCCATCTGGCCGGGAGCCGGCGCCGCCTGGCTGGCACCCGACCCGTAGGGCTCTCCTCTGCCTACTGACCCTGTCCTCCCCCGACCTCCTGTCCAGGGGCGACCCCGGCCCGCCGTGGCCTGCCCGGGCCCACACACAGAGCAAGGGCCCTTGGCGAGTATTATGTGTTCTGGAGGGGAGGCTGAGGTCGCGCCGGGTGGGGACTACAAGTCCCAGGGTGCTTCAGGGCAGCGGACCCGCGTCGGGGACCCCGCTTTTGGAGCCACCCCACAATCGTGACCTGTGTTCAGCTATTACGGATTGAACCTACCTAAGCAGTCGGTGGCCAGATCTGGAAGCCTCGGCTGCCGTAGGAAAGGCGGGTGTGAAGAAGTGTGCTTCCTAGAATGGGCAGCGCTCAGGGTCTCAACTGTGGCCTTGTTGATGCATAAATGGCCACAGACCTCTCTGCTCACACATTCACTCGTGCACTCATTAAACACGTGTTCAGTGCCCAGTGAATGCACGCCGCTGGTTGTTGCGGTGCAAGCTCCTCAGCCCGGAGAATGGGCGGGGCAGATGGCAAGACTGCATCCGAGGTAGAAAGATCCCGCCTCTAACGCCGACCCTGTCTGCGCCTCCGGGTTTGACATTAGCCCAGAGTTCTCTAGTTGGCCACGTAACTAGGGGTCTCTTTTTCTTAGATGAAAGGTGTTGATAAGCCCTGGGCTCCACACATGGCACCCCTTTCCCTTCATTGTTGCAGGTACTTTTCACCGGTTCTAACCCTCGGGGGTACTACCTCTTGAATCGCTGTTGAACAGGGCCAGCTTTTAACTACGGCAGTGTTTTTCTTTTGTTTCTTTGGGTGTTTTTATTTTGTTTTTCAATTATAGTTTACATTCAGTATTATTTTGTATTTGTTCCAGATGTACTGCATAGGGGTTAGACAATCATATACTTCACAAAGCGTTCCTGATAGTTCCGTTACCCACCTCACACGAAGGAGGTGTTTGAGGCAAAGCCATGACTGAGAGGCTGCTTTCTATGCACTTGGCAGTTCACTCATTTTGGCCTATCCATCGGAGTCAGTTCTCTGGTTTTTTCCCCTGCTTCCTGCACCATCTCCCTGTCCTGTTAGGTGTCAAACTGACACCTAGGAGGTGTTCGTTCTGCTACCAAATGCCCTCTGAATCCAGCTTGTACCCAAGCTAGAAGGAACCTGGTGTTATGCTGTACCCCTATCCCTTTCATACCTCTAGTACTGCCCCTTTTCAGTCCCTCTTCAGCATTACCAGGTCCTGAAGGCATCTTCATCTTCTGTGCAGAGGCAGCATAGGAGGGCACTGGAGAGTAAGGGCTGGAGCCATGCTGAAGGCCTAGGTTTGTGACTCAGCTCTGCCGCTTACTAAGTGTGGGACTTTGATTTTGAGCATGGTATTACATTTCTGGCCCTTGGTCTGTTAGAGGGGGTTAAATTAACTAATACAAAGTGTCCAGCATGTAGTAAGCACTCAGCAAATGTTAGCTATTCTGCTAGGTGGTTGCTTGCTTGCTTTTCCCTGTAATCCATCTTCCTGCCAAGGCAACCATGAGTTGGATCAAAACCAAGTATTGCCTAGTTTTGTTTTTTTTTAATATATTTTATTGATTTCTTACAGAGAGGAAGGGAGAGAGATAGAGAGTTAGAAACATCGATGAGAGAGAAACACCAATCAGCTGCCTCCTGCACACCCCCCACTGGGGATGTGCCCGCAACCAAGGTACATGCCCTTGACCGGAATCGAACCTGGGATCTTTCAGTCCACATGCCGACGCTCTATCCACTGAGCCAAACCAGTCACAGCAAAGTTTTGTCTAGTTTTAAAAACCTTCACCAAGGGGCTCCAGACCACCACAGTGGGTTTTTCTGTTTCCCTGCTATATTGGCTGCTTATGTGAATATAAAACTTCTGTCATCAAAAATCCTCCTTGCTGTCATCGAATTAGTCCTTAATATCCTTGAAGCCTTCTGTGCTTGGGAGGTGAAAGGGTCCCCTGAAACCTCAGCTCTGTGATTTGGGTATATCTTGGATAGAAAGTATTATCCTTGCCTTTGGTGTTGAGCACTATAAGCTTTGGAATATAAATGCCTGTTGTGGTTTTGTAGAACATCACGCTTAATAATTTTTCAGAAGGATGAACAGGAAGATCATTGAGCTGAAATTACCAAGCCTTTCATGATTACCTTGGCAGATGACTGGATTCAGCAATTGTTTCTCTACTTGAATAAAAATGAGTAAGATTGCCGGGACCGGTTTGGCTCAGTGGATAGAGCGTCAGCCTGCGGACTGAAAGGTCCCGGGTTCGATTCCGGTCAAGGGCATGTACCTTGGTTGCGGGCACACCCCCAGTAGGGGGTGTGCAAGAGGCAGCTGATCGATGATTCTCTCTCATCGATGTTTCTAACTCTCTGTCCCTCTCAATTCCTCTCTGTGTAAAATCAATAAAAAATATATTTAAAAAAATGAGTAAGATTAATAAAAAGTAACTTGGGGAGGGCAGCCCTCGCCAAGTGGCTCAGTTAATTGGAGTGTTGTCCTGTACACCAAAAGGTTGTGGGCTGGATCCCCAGTAAGTGCACATACAGGAGACAACCCATTGTTTCTCTCTCTTTCTAAAAATCAGTAAGCCTGGCCATGGCCAGTGTGGCTCAGTGGTTGAGTGTCCACCTATGATATCAGGAAGTCACAGTTCAGTCCCTGTCAGGGCACATGCCATGCAGGAGGCAGCCAATCAATGATTCTCACCATTGATTTTTCTCTTTTCTCCTCCCTTCCTCTCTGAAATCAATAAGAAATATATATATATATATTAAAAAATAAAAATCAATAAAACATATCCTCAGGTAAGGATTAAAAAATAATAAATTACTGTAAGAAAACTTGTGTCTTTCCAAAGAAATAATGTATTTTTGAGATGAAATATCTTATTTTAAAAAGTAACTTGGGGACAGAGCAGGGCTTTCCATAGCAGTGCCTGCCCCTGGGGAAATGATAGAAGGGAACCCATCATCTTGACCTGGATTGGCTCAGTCTAACTCTGTTACCTTTCCCTCCCATAGGACCTCTACCCGGCCTGTCATTTCTCTAGGGCAGTGTTTTTCAACCTTTTTTGGGCAAAGGCACACTTGTTTCATGAAAAAAATCACGAGGCACACCACCATTAGAAAATGTTAAAAAATTTAACTCTGTGCCTATATTGACTATATATAAAGTAATTCTCTTGAATAGGAATCAAATAAACACAAAGAAAGTATTTTATAATTACTTTATTATGAAATATTAAGTAAACAAAATAGTGAAAAATTATAAAATTCTTGTCTTGTCTGCACCTACAGCACACCAGGCAACATGTGCCGCGGAACAGTGGTTGAAAAACGCTGCTCTAGGGGCTGCAAAACATAGGGAAATTGGGGACAATATGGTCAGCTACTTCCCAGCCCTTCTAGCTTTGTATTAAGAATTCTCAGCAAATGTAATGTTGTACTGCCAATTCTTTCCCAAAAATAAGAAGCCAGTGTATCTTACTTCATCGCATATTTCAAGCACTCTTAAGTGTGTGTGTGTGTGTGTGTATATTTTTTTTTTTAACGGTTGAATTTTCAGCACCAAAAGCTGCTGAATATCATCCCATATGTGGCCAAACCTAGACACTCTACAGATTGAGATTATTATAGCTCTTACTTTCAGAAGCTCATACTTGAAGAAAGGATGGCAGTGTAAAAGCTGCGCATAAGAGGAAATAAAGACAGAGTTATG